TGAATAAAAGATAACCGTATTTAAAACTAGTTCACCAGTCAGCTAATATTTTAGCACTGAGATGAAGCAAACTTTACTTCTGCCAATCAACATGAGGTCTAACATTGGGTAGGTTACCTGACAGTTTGAGACTTCAGAGGAAGAACCTTCATGGAATATTTCCAAACACAGCTCACACGACTTACAGTAAAGTTAGCAATTAAATGTATATATATTGCAGCTCACTAATGAGCACCAGCTGTTTGATCAACAGGAATAGACAGGAAGCTGAGAAAAAGATAAAGGTTATTGTAATAACCAAACCAAACAAAGAAGTACAGAGCTGTTCTCAAAGTGACAGTGTGATTCTTTGGAGCTCATAGAGCAATTTAAATCTTTCCGTTCTTTTAATGCAGAGAAAGAATAATATCTACACTGCTGGAGGAGAGGTGCCAGGGATGAAACATGCCTTTGAGTTTGGGACGTGCATTTGAGTAAAGAGGCCTTGTAAGCTGACCCCGTGTTTATTTGGCTCCAATTTCCTTTGAGCATGGTTTTACTCATTTGCCCTTCCAGTCTGCATCCATCTACTTCCTTGCCAATCATATTCACACATTCTAAGTCACAACTCTAAGAAAATTTACCTTAGAAATGTGGGAGGATTACAGAGAGTGGATGACTATCCATGAAGGCCTCACCTTAAGAAAGGATGGCCATTTGCACATTGACAAAAAAAATGGGAGGAGCAAAGAGAACACAAATTTATCAAACATTTCCATATGTTATTCTATATCAATAGGAACACATTCAGAAGCCAACTGCTGTAACTTTAATAAAAAATATTATACATTACAACACAATGAGGAAGTCTCTGACAAAATGATATGAGTGACAGATTACTTTGTTATTTCAAAAGTTATATCTTGATGAGCGCATTCAAGGTTCCTGATGCTCTCTCAACTTCTGATTCTCCTTCATGAGAAGTGAATGGAAACTGAACAACCTTTCAAATAGGGGACCCAATCCAAATGGTGTGAGACTACGATCAATTTAAGGAGAAGACATGTCTGTTCTTCCATGTTAAGATTCCAAGAAAATGTCTAGACCAGTGCTAAATTAAACAAACACAATTAGGCATGGGTAATCTCCTTGTGAACATCAGAGATTCGTATGTGCTCCTGTGTTCTTGTTCTTTAAAACCCAATCTTCCTTAGTCCATCTGGGAGCCTTGGAGGACAACTTGTTCTTCCTTAGCCAAACACATTTAAGCACAGTAGAGAGACCCGATTCAAGGTATTCATCCAAATAGTGAACTTGTGTCTTTAGGATGAGTATAATCCCATCTAAAATTGACTAAATTTCTTTTCAACTGATTCACCACCTCATCCTATAGGGCTTAAACTGGTGGCATATGCCGTTTAAGCTCTAGGTCATCCTCAGAGCCTGCCAACTACCATCAAATGATGCAGATGAACTTCTGATGTGGCTCCATGGATGTTCTAGGGTGGAGCCAGCGCATGCTGCCACCACAGCAACACGGGAGGCAATGGGGGGAAGCTGCAAGAATGATGCTTCTCCCCATGGGATCAGCTTCATCGTTAGCTGGGTGATGCAGGCCATGGGGTGGCGGGTTCCCCATGCCCACCCCCCCCCCCGCCAATGAAGGTCATTGGTTTTGCCACAATGTGTGGCAATTTCAGCAGCTGTCTGATGATGTCATTAGAGCAACTCTATCATTGTTTTGATTTCTTTGCTTTCATCAGTAATTTTATTACTGACAAACATGATTTAGAACTGAAAAAACATTCTTGGATCGTGGTGGAAAACAGAGGGAAGGATAGAATTTATCCAAGGTGCTGACCGTTACCCTTGAAAGAGCACCTTAGATTGCTTCTTTAAAGTTCATACTAAAATTAGGAACAGATTTCACTGAGGAACAGTTTTCAATGAGGAACTAGCCCCCACTGACACTGAACTTCCTTAAAATTCTCTAGGAACTATGCCTAATGAAGACATTCCTAGTGATCACTCCCTCCAATTTTTTATAAAAACTCACAACAGGCCCTAAAGCGTTTTTAGCAGGAAGAGTTATCCTCAGTGAGAAGGAGAGTTTCTAAACCTTCTTTCTGTGAAATGTTACGAACTTCCTTGTTAATTTATCATATGATCCAAGCCACAATTTGATTGATTTTATGTATTAATCATTTCTGGGTATAAACCTATCCAGTGTTTGTCCATTAAGCAGCTGCCCTTCTAGAGTACTTGCCAACGTTTGCCAAGATAGAACAGCAGTATTTGAATTTTGACAAAAACTATGTAAAAGTAATTATGGTAATAATGCTAGATTTTCCATTGGTTTCAATATTTTTTAATTCCAGTGATACCCTTCTGACTAACCTACCAAGAATCCTCCTTGAATTGTATTTTCATCCATATGGGTCAGTAAGGGTAACATGTCATTTTTGAAAGATGAGGGTGGTAGAACACTGGCTATGAGAAAATGCACAAGTGGAAAAAGTGCAGGTGCCATTTTTAGATTTTCATTCTACATTGGCTGCTGAACATTTTCTTGTGACAGATGCCATCATTTCAAAAACTGCACAGTTACATATTGTTTCCAACCAACAAGGGACTGAAAACAAAGCTAACATTTTGCTAACATTGAAAGTATTTTTTAAAACTCTGACAGTTGCTTGTCATTTGAAAGGAAAATGTAAAGAGAAGGCAAAACAAAAAGGAAGCAGAGAGGGGGAAATCTCTTAATGAATTATTTTGGAACAACATGCAATTTTATTTTAAGACACAAGTTGAGACATTGGGTTCTAGAGTTTTGAAAATGATGCTTATTTGAGCTTGTTTTTGGTTTAACCCCATTAAGGTGTTCCTGAAGCTGAAACAGAAAAGACATGTTTTTAAAAAATGTAAAAAGAAACTATAGCATACCATTGAAGGTTCTGCACCACATTGTACTCTTGAACATTACAGATGTTGTGCTCATCATTTGTAGTATCTTGTAGGTTTATCTAAGATTTGAAACCCATACAGCTGCTGAAATGGTACTAAGTGCCTTCACATAAAGAATGTGAAGAATATTCCCCAGCTGGCTACTTCTCCCCAACACTGCATTTTTCAATATGTCAAGAAACCATGTGGAAACATCATCTCCTGTTTGACAGTGATATAATGACCCTTTTATTTTCCACCCTGCCCTGCAATTTGTGTAAGATGTCACTCTTCTCTCTTTGTGAAGTAAAGTCCACATATAGAGCAAGCACAGAGTAGTAGGATGTTTGCTCAAAAAGATGCGAGCAACTCACCCAATCTTTCTTCTTTTTGAAGAGAGCAGCATAACTGTGGCCCAAACAACATCATTTTGCTTAATTTGCACAAAGACACTCTTGCAGTTTTGCAAGTGAAGACACAAGAAAAGATACACATCAATCCTGGAAGATGTCCCTTTGGAAATACAGACTATGTGCTAGGGACAAAAATAATATCTGAAGATATTCAGAAATATTTAAGAAATGTGTTTTTTAAGTGCTGAGAAAAATGTGATGAATCTGAACTAATCTTTGCCATTTAGGACATTTTGAATAAAATTTATACATATTTGGCATAGAAAATAGGGGCTTTTTTTCACAGATACTTGTTATGGAACTCCCTTCCTGGCAATATTAGATCAGCCCCCTCCCTCCTGTCCTTCAGAAGGATGGTGAAGACCTGGCTGTGGGACCAAGCCTTTGGGGCAGTGCAATGAAGTAATAATGGAATGGTGTCCTGAGATGGTTTTTAAGCAACTGATTTTAGACTGGACATAGGTGATTTTAAGGTTTGCATATATTTGTGGTTTTATGTCCCGGCATTGAATATTTGCCGTATATATGTTGTGCACTCCTGCAGGGTGAGAAGAGTGAAATATAAATGTTTTAAACAAACAAACAAACAAACAAACAAACAGAAATGTTATGGTGGAAAAAACTGAATCCTGTGCAGGAAATGCTGTTTTTAATGCACAACAACTGTGAGTAAATTTTGCACTAAATAGATCCAGAATTGCTGATAGGCTTAATAAAAACTGTGGATTTTGACGACTTTTTTTGTAACAGGAAGAAAATTGCCAAAATTTCTCATTCTATCCTACAATAAAAAATAAAGAATAATTATGTAGTTTATTTCCAAAAGGAACCAAATTTTAAAAATGAAAAATAAGTTACAGAACATTGTTGGCTAGGAGTAGAATTTTATCTACAGATCAAAACTATCAAACTGTTTCAAATTGCTTTGGCACATGGTTTGGAAAATTCATTTTTAAAGCAAAAGAATTCATATTCTCTGCAGGTCTTTTATAATTCCTATACAAATTATTCAGATGGATTTGGTACCATTACATTTCTGCTATCTTTCTTATCACCCAAAATTTGCAGTTTATCCCAACCACAAGAAGAACTCTTTAAAGAAAAATGAAAAAAAGAAAAAAAGAAACTATGTTGGTTGATTACATGTAACTTCATGTACTAATGTATTGAAAAATGGTTTGGCTGCTGCTCGATTTCACTTTTTGTAAAAACAAATAAATAAACCTTGTTATTTAAAATTTACATGGATATTTAAACACCTTCAGTAGCTAATGCAACCAGCAGATACCATAACCTTCTGTAAGTAAAACAGGTACTTTTTTTACTGAGTTGTGAATCCTCCTCAAATGTTTATTATGTAGCAAAAAAAATACAGATCATATGTGAACCACCTTATATAGTGAAACATCTCACACACAATTTTCATTTCCATTCAAAGCTAAAACAAAAACAAAGCTCCTTAGAAATGTAGCAAGTACAAGAAATTCAGATAGTGGAATCATGACAGCAATTTTAAGAGTACCCGAACGCCAGTACCATGAAACTGTCCTAAGAAAAATGTTTGTGACAAGTAACAGCTCCACTAAAAACCCTCTGCTGGAGAAATCACTTTGACAAAGAATTATCAAGTAATTATTGGAAGAAGTAGTGGAACAAAACAATTACCTTAATGAGAACCTGGATACGTCCTGTTGCTTTTGAAGACATATAATACCAAAAACTCAGAGTACAAGCAGCACTAGACTCTATCCATCTGGCACTCTTCAGATGTGCCTTATCGCCTCTTACGCCTGTGGATGTGGCCTCAAGATACAAGAACTGACCTACAATAAAAAATGAAATACTATTTGGAAAATTCCTTAAATAAAATGAAGAACAAAAAGAAAAAGAAAAAAACGGATGGAGGAAAGACAGAATTACTACTGTGGTGCATGGTTCACCAACCATCATGATCTTCCCGCAGCTGGTACCCTTCAGATGTCTTGAAATACAGCTCCTATTGCCAGATAACCAATGTTCACAATAATAGGAGTTGTCAGCTAATGCATCTGGGGGGTGCTAATCTGGGGAAGGCTACTTTTATCACAAAGCAAATTATGGAAAATAGGATGTCTTCTTCACAGAGATTTTAACAGCACAACTAAGAGTGATTTAAGAAACCAAACAAGCTTGCTCACTTATCAGGGTTGCAACCCACCCACCCCCAAACACACACACACACACAAGGAAAGGGGAGTGGGAGTGGGGCTGGGGCGACATAGCTATTAGTCATAATGTCCTTGCAAGTGTTCTTTCTGGCAAAGAGTGGGAGAAACAAGTTGCTTGCTGTAGTTTTCTCCTGGATGGGCTATGCAAGGCCAGACTCCACTTTAGAACGATGTTCTTCTTGAGACACAGGAGGAGGAGGCTCGTGGTGGCACTTGTTTCTTGGCCAATGGCAGTAGGCACTAAATCCTATGTTCTAGAAAACTAAAGCTGTAAATGCCTCATCTCTATCCTTCCAATGATATTGTGTGCAACCACATGGAAAATAACTTATTGTACTGTCAATATCTAATGACAGTATAGAAGTTACTAAGAAGAACCTGTCACCATACACAGTTCTTTCAAGTCTCACTTCACCCCTGAACAAGCCATACATTTGTTGTAAGCCATCCTGAGTCCCCCCTTGAGAGTGAGAAGGACAGTATATAAATATGTGAAATAAATAATAAATAAATACATCACAGACTGCATCTACACTATAGCATGAATGCAGTTTGACACCACTTTACCTGCCATGGGAATTGTAGTTTTGCCTGGTCTTTGGCTTTTTCTGCCAACATGTGCTGGGGTTTCACCAAACTACAACTCCCAGGATTCCATAGCATTGAGTCCTGGCAATCAATATGGTATCAAACTGCATTAATTTTACAATGTAGATGCATCCATGGCCTTTTAATGCTATGAACGATTTAGGAGTCCTTTATCTGGCAAATGCCTTGTGACGTGCAATTTTTTGAATTGTCAACTTCACTGTTACATGTTTATCCCCACTAGGGCCCATTTCACATTACACAGTCATAGTGGTATGATCCATAACTTTATCCTATGTACTTTTGTAAGATATGAGACCTCTCTAGCTAAATGCCCCACCCCACCCCCATCTTCAAATCCCATGATTTAGAAGTATGGAGTTGTGGCAGTCTTTCTCTGTCATACACATTAAGAACTGATTAGGAATAATAGTAATTTTTCCAGAGAACAGAGGACAAATGTAATAACATGAGTCAAAACACTTGGTGCAATAGTAAATACATGGAAATATTTTCCTAGCTTTGACCCCACATTTGCCATGATATACATTTGAGAATCTTTATCACAAGTCACAGCAGAGTTAAAACCATGAAAATATTCACTTCTTTTGAGCCTCAGTTACCTCGTTTGCCCAAAGCTAATGCATAATATTACTGCCAGAGAAGGAAGCTGAATTTATCTTTGCCTTGCAAACTGCAATACATATAATGCTGTTTTACTATATGTATTTTTAGAGTAATCTTGGTTAACAAGTAGATTTTTCTTCCTCTTGAAGTCTTTCTTAAAAATTAACATGGAAAAGTCAACAATCTTCTTTACTCTCTGATTTATCCAGTGTTCTTAGAAAAGTTATGAGCATGCACATCTTCAAATCAACATTTTGAAATATATTTATTGACTTTAATTGCTGGTGATTCGATTAACACCATTTTGTTTTAACTTACATTGTAAGCTGCCTTGGGTCCATATCGGGCAAAAGGTGGCATATACATTAAATAAATGAACAAATATAGTTGAATAATATTATGGAATTGCATTGAAATTATTTATTGAATTGCAGGGTTGTTTTTTTTAAAAGTTCTGGTTTAATGGTATTATTCAAGGGGACCAATGGTAAAAAAAAAATCCCCACAAACCCCAGGCAAGGAACTGTAGCAGGGCTGTTAAAAAACACACTGTACTCTTACACAAAATCCAATCCTAAAACCCAAACTACCAGTTTCTGTGGCTGCATTTCCTTTTCTACAATGTCTTGCAAAAAGGGAATATATGTTTTGTTTGAAAGCAAACCTGTAGTCTTAAAAAGTATTAGAAAATTAGAAAGTAATAGTGTAATACTGGGCACATCTAATCAGAATTATACACCACTGAGTTTGAATCGTCTCCCACAAATGTGCTACAGAAACAGCAAAATGATTCAGAGAAAGAAATGGGATTGATTTCATTACATTTTTGGTCAAATTATTGTTTCATTCTATTATTAAATGATACTTAAGCAACCATATGTGTTTATCCCATATCCAGTCATGTATACATCTCCCTTGCTTTTCTTTTTTTGTCTTCCTTCTGTTGAATTTGAGATGGTGAAGAGCCATTGGATAAAATATTGTTTTCATATGCACTGTAAGGAACATTGGTACCATCATACAATCAGCAGTTGTACTTTGCTTTAATCTGTGTTCTAAAATGACTTGGGTCTCAGGCTGAGAGAAACTAACAATAAAAATAATAAATATATGAACAGAACTGCATTTGTTTAAAAGTTGGTGAACTATGAATATGACCTTTAAAAAAGTTTGCAACAGTATTTGGAAGAAACAAATACTGTCGTAACATCTTCAAGGGAAGCATCTCATCAGCATTGAGTTCCAGAAGGAAAAAGTCACTTCTAACACTATAGAAATAGTGTGTAATATCACAGCAATTGTAATAATGATCTTCAAACTGGAGAATTTTCACAAATAACTTGAAATATGATTCACCATTGGATGATAAAAAGAACACTGACTGTGAGAGGAGAGCTTGAGGTGGCAGCGGAAACATTCATTACAAATAAGTTTCCTTGTGGAGTAATATGCACTTTGTATTAATGCTGTCTTGCTTTGCCTTGGGAAACTTCATAACCTCAAAAGGCACAGAAAAAAAAGTTTGGACAAACCATTCAGAAAATAAATTCTATGGGAATATTTGTTAACTGATATCATGTCAACTTTGACTTATGAAGATCCTGTGAATGAGTCTTTTAAATCCCCCTGTCATCAACAGTCTAGTTTTGGTCTTGCAAACTCCGGACTGTGACCTTCTCAATTTTGAGTCTATCTATCATTAAAGTAGCCTTCTTTGATTCCTACCGCCTTCTGTCTTCCATTGTTGGCAGCTACCATTAGTTTCTCTTCTAGTGAATAATGTCTTTTTATAGTATGTCTATACAATACAAGTACAATAGTCTACATCTACTCCTCCACAAAGGCCACAAGTAGCTGTTTGGCACATTTAGTCTGACTCCTCCACAAAAGCCTCCACACATGTCATCCAACATCCATATATGTGGTGCTGTGAATGCATTTAGGCTTTTTGTCCGTGCCTGAGAACCAGATTTATCTTTGGAAAATGGCACCACATAAAGCCAACCACAAAGAAGATACTCCTTTACAAGTCCATGATTTCTGATAATACAATTGAATTAACAAACCATTTTCAACTTGAAGGATTTAAACATGGACTATGGAGATTCTAAAGAGTTGTAATGAGTCATGATGATAATATTTGCAAATATTATTATTTAAATTCACAGTGGCAACAAACCTTTTCCGTTTCCAAGTGTGTGGTCCTTGGAAGGTCTGAGACTTTGAGGCGAGCTGGTTCTCATAACCCAATCAAAGTTATCAGCAAGGGAGTTCTTCCAGCCACACATTCCATTTTCAAAAGTGCAAGAGGTGCCGCATTCTCTCTCATCAGTATTATCCCCGCAGTCGTCTTCAAAATTACAGCTTTGTTCTGGTCTGTAACATTTGCCATTGAGGCACTCCAAATAGCCATGTAAACAAGAGCCTGAGGAGGTAGAAATAAAAGAAATGAAGAGGAGATCTGGACAAAACCTAAACATTACTGGAAGCTTTAACATTCAGTCCCTTTGACTTTCAGTAAGAGCAAGGTGGGTTTAAAGTACTTTTATTAAAAGCACATCTCTGCCTCTGAAGCACCAACCCATTGTCCTTTTACATTGCATGCTTATGTGAAGAGCCTACAGTAAATACATCCCAATCTTCTTTGAAAAGTTCTCCAAAGCAAAGCTGGGCTCATATATATCAGGGTCCTAGCACAAATATGACTGCTAAGGTGTCCTCAAATGACTATTTGAGGTGATTTTATGATAAATTTCCTTTTTTTTTTAAATGAAACTCCTGTTATCAAGAGAAGTGTAATTTCTCAAAATAAGCCAGAATGACTGATATGGGCCCCTGCTACACTAACCATTTGATGCACTTTCAAACTGGTATTGTAGAAAGTTTTTTTTCCATGTCAGGAGTGACTTGAGAAACTGCAAGTCACTTCTAGTGTGAGATAATTGGCCATCTACAAGGATGTTGCCCAGGGGACGCTTAGATATTTTACCATCCTGTGAGAAGCTTCTCATCCCATTGTAGAAAGTAGTCAGGTGGAGCCATGGTGAACTCAAGGATATAATAGGAAATTCAGAAGCCAATCCAGTCATCAATTTGTAATGGACTCAGGGCCAGGAGTGCTTCCAGGCCCAGTGATCAGTGCTGATGGGTATGCTTTTTCTAACATATAAACTTTGCATCACTTTTGATCCAGACTTTGGTTAGCATTTGCATGCCTAAGCTCATTAGTTTGAATGGTGCCGAGTATCTGCTTGCTTGTTTTTGTCACAACCACTCTCTTCTTGTATCATTTTAATGTGCTGCCATTTCCTTTTCTTTCTTTCGTTTTAATTAGATGATGTGTTTCATTATGAGCAAATAATTTGTAACTATAGCAACTTATTTTACAAAGAAAACTAAGCTGTTTCTTTTCTCTCCTAGACCTTGTGTGCATGTGGTAAGCATGGATATGACTGTTATTCAGCTTCTTCTTTGCAAATTTCATTTCTCTGCCTGTGAGATCCAGTACTGTCTTAAACATTTCCCAACATCTTCTCAGTCTCACATAGCCATAGAGAAAATGGTTCAGCCATGTACCCTGTACAAATACTATGTGATGCTGTGAGAGGCTACCTTGCTGATCAGCTAATTCTGTCCATGAGACATATGGTTTAGAATGGTTCCTAACATTATTTGCAAGACTTTTGACTCAGTCAGCTGGCCCTTGGCATACAAATCACTATGGAAAAGATCTCAAAAATCTGCAAATTTTGAAAACCACAGAATTATAACAAATGAAAATAAAGATAGTCATGCAAGATCAATTAAGTGGAGACAGTAGCCCACTGGAAGCATTAGGTAGGACAAGAGAACAAGGGCACCTTCTGACTTGCATTTCTCGGCAATTGGTACCATGATACATGTTGTTGTTGTGTACCTTCAAGTTGCTTATGCCTGATGGCAATCCTAAAGTGACCCTATCATTGGCTTTTCTAGAGATTAGAGTTGTGACTTGCTTACGGTCACCCAGTGGGTTTCCATGGCTGAATGGGCAATTGAATCCTGGTCTCCATAGTCATAAGCCAATGCTCAAACAACTGCACCTCTCTACACTGGAGATAATTTCTAGCTATTGTGACTAGAAACCCTTGATAACCTTATACTCACAACATATGAAAAAAATAATCAAGTTGGATTTTTTGGTATCAAAGATTAAAGATAACAGGCTAGGGAACCTTTCTATATTTTAAGCCTTTAGCCTCACAGTGAACTTTGCACAATTAAATTCCATTTGGTGATTCATTCCTCTTTGTAGCTTCTTCCATTCTAGGAATTAGTGGAATCTTTCAGAAAGCCTGAGCATAATGATGGCTTAATGCAATATGTGAACCTCAAAGCTGTATATTTTTATTTCCAAGTTATTTCTGAAATTATTTGGCTGGGAGATGGTCCCTTTGGAGTCTCTTTTGCTTGAATTAAACTACAATGCTGAAACAAAACAAATGAAAAATTCACTTCATCAGAGAAAAATGTGTGAAAATGGAGACTGGGGAAACTGCAGAAATAACTAGAGACATTAATAGGCACACTGAGCAAAAGGAAACTGCATAAATGATTTATGCCTGTGTTTACAGGACTGAAAAACTATAGCCATAGTCCCAAACAGATTAAGCAGAAAGTCTCTTTGAAGTCACTGTGGTCATGAAAACGAAACCCTGTTTGAACTTGTTTTTTCTTCAGTTCAAGGAAAGGGGAAATATTGTTTTTAAGATAGCTCAAAATATGTTTGTTAAAATGTGTGATGCCTTCTGGAAGAGGGACATTAAATTGTTTTCTTTTCCTTTAAATACATATGTTGTTTATACTTTATGATATAATTCAGTTTATTGACAGTTGCAGACCATTTTGACATTTCAGGGGCCACATTACATCAAAGGTACAGAGCTAACCTTTCTCCTTCACCAAAACAAAGAACCTTGATGATCAGGGTTACCGGAGTAAAAATGAGAGAAGACTCTTTATCTTTAATGATTTTGTAAAAAAGAAGGAATTGCAGTTGTGTTCCTTGTAATGTGGTTTGATAAGCAATAGCTGGTGAAATTATCATTATACAGCCATTAAAGATGCAGAAGCTATCTCCACTTTTGTGTCTGGTAACCCTACCTCTGGTAGTCCCTCCAGGTGACTACCAGAGGCGACAGCATGATCCTTATTTTTGCCTGGGTTGCAAAGAATTGAAAAGAATATACTATAGAATTACATGCTTTAAACTATTATTTCCTGACAAAATAATAAAGGAAGGATGACACAAAAAGTGGCTTGGCTATTTAATCGGCAGGAGAAGCTTCCTTTTAAGGTTCAATAACTTTTTCCACAGCAATGATCTGCGGAGAGTTTTAGCAAGTGAACTTTTTTTTCTTGTCTGGCAGAAGCATCGAATAATAGGCCCAGAGGAGTTGTCAGTGTCTCTAAGATTGAATCCATGAACTGAGCTGGATTTACAACAAATAATGATAATGACTACATGGAAACCCTTAGAATCAATGCAATCAAAATCTTTTGAAAGAAAGTCCAGAATATAACATGATTGAAGAGAGAGAGCATAGCTGCTCAGCAGCCCATGCACTAGCAGTATCCAGAGATTACATGTAGTAGAGGGAAATTAATATTTTAGAATTCAGACATCTCTAAAGCAAAACAGCAAGGACTAGGTTGGACAAAACATTTTTGCCAGTTTTAAGTCAGCTATATCATCCCTTGATTTGGGTTCTGGTGCTGCTTTTAAGAATGTGTTACTTAGAACTGGCATTTTTAAAATGATTCCCAATCATGTGTTTATTGCTTCTGTTTTTGTTTTCTTCACTTTGTTTCTTCTTCGGAATTTGTTACTGCTATTTCAATGTTATTATAAATATTTCACAGTGTCCATGTTGCCCAACTGTGATTTGAAAGAAAAGCATACTGAATTTAATACCGACGGCTTCTCATACTGCTCAGATGTTTGGACAGGGAAAAAATGAGCTTCAGGTGGGCGAAATGGCATTTGTAAATGGGGTTCCTTAAAAAAAGAAAAGCATTAAAATGATACATTTTATGTTCTTACTGCACTAGTAATTCCTTGATGATATTTTAACTTGCTAAAAGGTGAGGTTATGGACCTCATCACATTGAATTCCTTGATGTGGGGGACACCAGTGTGGGAGGGGAGGTGTAGGGTAGTGGGGAAAATTGTGGTATCGCCTGCACCACCCATATTTCACTTCTTCACTTCACTTCACTTTATTTCTTAATTAGTCGCTCTCCACCAAGGTGCTCCGAGCAACTTACAATTTAAAATAGCATTTCACAATATAAAACATTCAACATAAAAACTTTTAGCAGTGACGATTTGGCAAATTTGATCTGATTACTTAAATGCACAACCAAACAGCCAAGTCTTGAGCGCTTTTACAAAAGGTCGCAACTCCAAGATTGCTCTAACATATGGAGGCAATGAGTTCCACATAATTGGAGCATAGGTCGAAAAAGCTCTATGCCTTGTAGCTTCCAGGTGTACCTCCCTAGGGCCTGGTATGTACAGGAGATTTTCCTGGGTGGATCGAGGTAACCACTGATGGAGAAAAGGAATAAGGCAGTCCCTAAGAAATAAAGGTCTTTGGCCATTTTGAGTTGTAAATGTCAGGATCAGTATCTTGTAAGAGATCCGATGTTCTATTGGTAGCCAATGTAGTTGTTGCAGAATCGTGTATTATGGGATCTTATAGATTATCCCGCTAGCAGCCTAGCCGCCGCATTTTGGACCATCTGAATCTCCTGGGTTGTTGACATTGGAAGGCCGACATATAAGGGGTTGCAATAGTCCAACCTAGTGGTGACTGTTGCGTGGATTACTGTTACCAATGCTTCTACTGAAAGGTAGGATGCCAATTTCCTTGCCTGGCGAAGATGAAAAAAGGCCTGCTTACTTATGGCAGTGATCTGGGTCTCCATTGTTAGCATTGAGTCCAACACAACCCCAAGGCTTTTAACAGTGGTAGACGAAACCAGAACTTCCCCATCAAAATCAGGCAGATACTGGATTAATTCTGGTGGCTGGCTGGGCTAGAGTATCTAATTTTTTACAGGATTCACTTTTAGTCTGCTCGATCACAGCCAACTCATCACTGCTTCCAAACACAGCTTAAAGTTCTCAGGAATCGCGGTTGCCCCAGGTTCGAGACGCAAGAGTAGCTGGGTATCATCTGCATACTAGTAGCACTCTATGCCAAAGCTTAGCACCAGTCCAGCAAGTGGTTGGACGTAGATGTTAAATAACAGGGGCGAAAGGATAGCACCCTGGGGAACTCCACAACAAAGGCAGGAGCTCTCAAAGCTTTGGCCTAACCACTCCACCCTCTGTCTCCGATCTCGGAGAAATGAATTGAACCATTTATTGTCCCCATGATT